AGAGCCATGGCTCGGGTTTATGGCTCTGACTGAGCCTCAATTCCACATGGGAATAACCCCATCCCAACCCCACCAGGAATATGGGACATTCCCTGTGGGAGCACCTCAGAACATTGGGAATGACCCCATCCCAACCCCACCAGGAAGATGGGATATTCCCTGTGGGAGCACCTCAGAACATTGGGAATGACCCCATCCCAACCACACCAGGAATATGGGACATTCCCTGTGGGAGCACCTCAGAACTTTGGGAATAACCCCATCCCAACCTCAGCAGGGATGTGGGATATTCCCTGTGGGAACCCCTCACACCGTGAGGGAACAGCAGATTTTATGGAAGTTGTTCCCTGAATTCCCCATGGCCATTTCCTCCTGCAGGTCTCTGAGGAGTCCAAATGGTGGCAATGAGGCCGAAATCCAAGGAATTTCCTCTTCCCGCATCAAGCAAGGCCCTGCTTCCCACTTTGGGGATTCCAAACAGATTTAAGCTCGGATTTTTATGATCCCCCTGGAAATAATGAGGGGCTCTCATCTCCCAACAACATTCCCAGCTTTTCCCATGTTTTGAGGGATCCCAGCTCTCTGAGATCCCACCAAATTCCCAGTTCATTCCCAGGAAAAAGCCCTAAACAGACCCAGAAATATTTCCATGGACTGAAAATGAAATCGCAGAGCAGAAAATCCCTCATGGCCATTCCAAGATTTCTCCAAGACACTTCTGATATTGTTGGGAAACTTTGGAAAAACCCCAGGAATTCTGAGTTCCCACAGCCACTTCCCAGAAACAGCAAGGAATAATGAAAACCTCTTTTGCCTGCAGATTATGGGATGTTCTGAGGAACACCACTGGCCTCCTTTTCCGAGGTAAGGAAATATCCCCCAGAAATGCAGAGCAGACTTCTGAAATCCAGGAGGGATGCTCAATCAGAATAATTGATCCTGCTCATTAGCACAGAAACTGATGGCATTTATGGAAATTACCCACATTTTGAACCTGGTGATGTCCATTACACAATTTAAATATCAGTACAAAAATGAAAACCCTGCTTTTAAGTATTTTTTCCTTCGAGTTTTTTATTTTTCACTCCACATGGGAAACTATCTCATCTTTTTTTTTTCTCCCATTCCAAGCTTGCAGCACATTCCTTCAGTTCCCATCTCCCAGAATTTGAAATTATCTAAGAAATAAAACTCCAGTTTCTCAGGGCATTATCACAAGGTTGGGAACAGCATTGAAAAAAAACAAAAGAAAATTTAAAAAAACCTCAAAACCACATTTCTTCAAAACATCATCTCCTTCTGAATTTCTGGGATTCATCCTACAGTTCCTGTTAAAACTTCCCAAATATTTCCTTTCATCCATGGGATATGGAAGGAGCATCAGCTTGGTTTCTCATCCTGATTCCAGCTTTGTTATACTTAATTCTCCATGCAAATCTCATCCTCTTTATCATCCTAACTTTCCTTATCTACCCCTCAATTAATCCCCACTTATCTTTCCCTCAATTAATTCCCATTTTATCGATCCCCCGATTAACTTCCATTTTATCAATCTCTCAATTAATCCCCACTTATCTATCCCCCAATTAATTCCCATTTTATCAATAGCTCAATTCATTCCCATTTTATCAATTCCCAGTTAATGCCCATTTTATCAATCCCGCATTAATTCCCAGCAGCCTCCCAGGCAGGACGAGCGGGCTCTCGCTGAAGTCAGAATTCCCGAGGAAGGTTTGGAGTAACTCAGTGCCCAAAATTATCCCGAATTTCAGGCTGATTTAGCTGTTAACGCTGTTTTTAATTTGCTGCCCACCACCACCATCTGGAGAACAACGGGAGTACTACAGGAGTAGAGACTGAGTGGATTTATCCCAATTCCAGGTGGATGTGGGGAACAGGATCAATCCCTTCATATTTTCCTTACAGATTCTCATCTCCAGGCTCCACAATAAAATAATTCCAGAAGAAAAAGGCCATAAATGAGGGACAATAAGGCAACAAATCTGTATTTCAATGTATTTCTTGCCATATCCTAAATATTTATCTGCCTCTCCAATCCCTAAAAAAGTGCATTCCAATATTTAATATGAAACCAGATCAACTCCTCATGGAATTCTTAAAGCCTTGATTTCCTCACGCTTTGGGATTCACCATGAATCCCATTTTTGTTTCAACATCAAAACCTGCTGCAAACCCTTCAAAATATCCAAACACTCCCCACACACCTGAGGGAAATGAGGAGAAATGGTGGGAATGAGCAGCCAAATCTAACCCAGGAGATGCTAAGGAGCAAAAAAATTGGGAAAAGAACTCTTCTGGATGCTCCAAGTGTAGCTACAAATTTATTCTTCACACCCTCACTCTTCCCTCCTGCCTGGCTTTCCTATCACAAAGCTGGAGTCAGAAAATATGGAGCTGGAGTGGGGAAACATTTGAACAACTTGGATGAAAACAGGGACAAAAACTGTGGAGAAGAAGCTTGGAAGACTTCTCCACTCAGATCGTCACCTGAAGATCTGTATCCCATGTCCCTCCTGCCCTGCAGGATCCCTAAAAGCTGTTTTGTGGGAATATTCCCTTCCTTTTCCACAGAAAATGTTATTACATCACACCTGGTTTGGAATTACTGCTTTGGGATTGACCTCCCTTATTTTTCTGGCTGTCTCCAGAAACATCTTCCATGTTTCATCCACTATTTTTTTCCTTCAAAACTTCAATTTATTTGGGTTTTGTATCACTAATAAGCACTGGGCTTGCAGCTCTGATGGATTTCTATCCCAAATCCATCATTTTCTCCAACCTTAAACATTCCATGATTCCATGGCTGGGCTCCTGAGAGGGTGGCAGGCACTGAGTCACTGGGAATTCTGTAGGGAAAAACTGCCTGGAACGGGGCAGAGCTCAGTGCTAACCTGGTCCAGAACCCCTCAATGCCCAAAACTTCAATAAAAAATGGCAATGTTCATCCCAGTTTTTATAGGATCGGCCAATGTAACTGGATAGGGAGGTGAAAATTAGCACTGAAATAAAAAATGAGAAATTTAAGCCCAGTTTTTACACGATCAGCCAATGTAAGCAATCAGGGAGGTGAGGATTAGAACTAAAATTAAAAACGGGAATTTTAAACCCAGTTTTTATAGGATCAGACAATGTAAGTGGTCAGGAAGGTGAGAATTAAGAGTTCAGTAAAAAATGGGAAATTTAAGCCCAGTTTTTACAGGATCAGCCAACGTTAAGTGCTCAGGGAGGTGAGAAGGATGCAGAAAAAGGAGCTGGGACAGCACTGCATCCCAGTCACACCAGTAACTCCCAGTTCCTGTGGAAAACCGGGAATTTTCAGCCCTACAGAAACAGCAACAACCCGAGCAGGGCTGCCAGGGTTCCAGGAAAATCCACACGCACGGATTCTGCTGGACCGGGAGAGAGGAGCAGCGGTGCCCTCTTGTGTTCCAAGGGACAAATCCCTGATAAATCCCAGGCAATTCCTCCCAAACCATGGACAGAGGCACATCCCAAGCTCAGAGCGAATCCATCCTGCCGAGCCCACCCTATGGAAAGGCTCCCGCAGTCAGGAATGCAAATTCCTGCCCCACAAAAGGGAACAGTCACACAATGCCCACAGAGGTGAGCCAACCCTTTTATTGCCAAAATTCCCAATCCATCTGAACTTAGGGAACTCGTTTGGTTGCATTTATCTCAGCAATTAATCACAAAACCTGGACAAAAGCTCCTGCAATTCCTCTATCTCAGCTATTCCAGGGCAGTTTAAAAATCCTGTTTTCAGCAGGAAAACTTTCAAAAGGACTTTAACAAATGGATTTGGGATGTCCTCTAGAGCTGTTCAAATGGAAAGTGCTGAGCTTGACAGAAACCCAGATTCCAACTTGGAATAATGATGGGAACATGAAGCAGCAAATGGAGCCAAGAGAGAAAGTTTAGAATCTAAAACCAATCCTAAACACAAGTGCGATCACAGAATTTAAGGTGTAATTAAAGAATTTAAGGTGTAATTAATATAACCTCAATATTCCCATGAAAAGCACACCACACGTCCTTATTTTGCCATAAAATCCAGTTCCAGCACCCAAGGTTTTGCCTTCCTCCTCTCCCTCTGGATTAATTCCCTTGTTTTGGTACTTGACACCAGTTCCAGTTTTGGATCTCACCTCGGAGCAGCCTCCTTGTAATCAGCTCTCTGATGGTTTCTTGGGACTTACCTCGAGCTTATGGGATCCTCTCCAGCTGTGCAAATGCAGAGAGTGCTGAGCTTAACAGAAACCCAGATTCCAGCTTAGGAACACGAACCAGCAAATGGAGCTGAGAGTGGAGCATTTATAAGCTAGAACCTAAAACTGACTCTAAACCCAAAGTTGAGAGCACAGAATTTAAGGTCACACTGATGTCACCTCAATATTCCTATGACAAGCAGGGCACATGTCCTTATTTTGCCATAAAACCCAATTCCAGTACAGGAAAACTCTCCTCCCCTCTGGATTGATTCCCTTGTTTTGGCACTTCACCCCAGTTCCAATTTTGCATCTCACCTCGGAGCAACCCCCTTGTAATCAGCTCTCTGATGGTTTCTTGGGGATTTATCTCCAGCTTAACTTTACATCCCAATGAGGTTTTCCCAAGCCTTTTTCCTCACACAGGGATGGGAAACATCCAGACAGTCAGAGCCTTTCCCTCGACCCTTTGTGGGAGAGTTTAGCACCATCCTGAACTCGTGTGGGAGCAAAGTTAGGAACACAAATCCTCTGGTTGAGATCAGAATCAGAATTTTCAAGAGAGGTTTTTAACCAAGTAGAATTAAAAAAAAAATAAAATTTTAATAAACTTATATCCATGACACAACAACTTAAAGAGACTGATTAATCAGATTAATATATATAAAATAATTAGATGTGTGTTTATAATAAAAAAGAAGGGGAAAAGCCAATTCGGAACCAGAAAACCAGCAAACGAATCAATTAATTACTGAAAGCAGAACGAAACGAGCCTTACCAGTCGTGGTAGGTGGTGATGGCGATGCTGGGCGGTGGCAGCAGGGGCAGGGTGGTGGGTCTGCACACCACGTCCCTCTCAGGTGTCCTGATGTCCCTGTCAGGCGTCCTGGCCCGCTCTGTCTGCCGCTGGGCCAGCGGGGGCAGCTGCAGGTTGCCCGAGCAGCACCGGCGGCCCCGCCACAGGTCGATGCCCAGGGCGTGGCTGGAAGTGCTGTAGGATTTGCTGAGCCCACATTCCAGGTAATCCAGGGAGTTCTGCAACAGAGAGGCCTCTGAGATCCCTCAATTCTGCTAACAAAGCGTTTCCTCCACGTGGGTAAAACACACTCGATTCTCCAGCCAGAACTATCCCAGGAGATGGGAACTCCACAGGTCCAGAACTAAATTCTGCAAATTATTTCCTCCATGAGGGTAAAACACACTCAATTCTCCAGCCAGAACTATCCCACAACTCCAGAAGTGAATTCTACAAAAGATTTCCTCCACAGGGATAAAACACAATTCTCCAGCCAGAACTATCCCACAACTCCAGAAGTGAATTCTACAAATGATTTCCTGTGCAGGGATAAAACACAATTCTCCAGCCAGAAGTATCCCAGGAGATGGGAACTCCACAGGTCCAGAACTAAATTCTACAAAAAAATTATTTCCTCCACAGGGATGAAACTCAATTCTTCAGCCAGAAGTATCCCAGGAGATGGGAACTCCACAGGTCCAGAACTAAATTCTGCAAATTATTTCCTCCACGAGGATAAACCACACTCAATTCTCCAGCCTGAACTATCCCATGGCTTCAGAACTGAATTTTGCAAACAAATTACTTCCTCCACGAGGATAAACCACACTCAGTTCTCCAACCAGAACTATCCCACAACTCCAGAAGTGAATTCTACAAAAGATTTCCTCCACAGGGATAAAACACAATTCTCCAGCCAGAAGTATCCCAGGAGATGGGAACTCCACAGGTCCAGAACTAAATTCTACAAAAAAATTATTTCCTCCACAGGGATGAAACTCAATTCTTCAGCCAGAAGTATCCCAGGAGATGGGAACTCCACAGGTCCAGAACTAAATTCTGCAAATTATTTCCTCCACGAGGATAAACCACACTCAATTCTCCACCCAGAACTATCCCACAACTCCACAGCTAAATTCTACAAACAAAGAATTTCTTCCACGAGATATTTAAACATAAAAAGGTGTGATATATCCAGAGCAAATATTCCATAAATCCCAGCAGCATTCCCTGCTCCCTGCCCACACCACACTGCCCAAAGACCACCAGAGCAAAAAGACCTGGATAAAACTCCTCCAAACCTTTCCAGGGCTTGAGTTGTTCATTTTTTAATGTGCAGCTTTTATTTTCTTCTTCCTATCTAAAATCCTCTAAGATTGCCCATCAGCAATCAAAGCCAAACCAGCTTATATTTACCAAAGAAGACAAAATCAACTTTCCAGCTCATTTTTACAATGTAAAAAAAAAAAAAAAAAAAAAAGGGAAAAGAAAAAAAAAAAAAAAAAAAGAAAAAGAAAGAAAAAAAAGAAAAAATAAACCTTCAGCAGGAGCTCACCTCATCTGCAGTCACTGTCATGACACTTCTGCTCTTCTTCATTATCAAGTTTCAAGTGCAGACCAGGATAAAAAACTTCAGGTAAACAGAATTTCTTCAGAGGGGCAACCTGAAAGAAAAAAACTGTTATATGTTTTTATTTATAAACACATGTAAATTATATATTTATAGAATTAAATTGAAATACATAACACATGTAAATTATATATTTATATAATTACATTGAAATACATATGTATATAATTATATACATACAAAATTATATATAATTATATATTGCTTATATATTTAAATTCATATCTATGAATATGTATGAGTTATTTAGATGTAATTATATATATCTAATTATGTATATAAATATATAAGATATATAATTATGTCTATAAATACTATACAATTATATATAAATTGTATATACATTTATTAACTATATATTATTTATATCAATATACTATTATAGAATAATTAATTAATTAATATTCATTATATTAATTAACTATATGCCAATCAGAATATATATAAAAAAGCTATCTATCTATCTATCTATCTATCTATCTATCTATATCTTTTGCATATTAATTTTTACATATTTTTGAATGCTAAACTGGGTTTGCTAACAAATAAACCACTAAAATCCCAGCTGGGATTTATGGAATATTTGCTCTGGATCCCACCTTTTCCACGTGTAAATATCTCAGTGTTTCAGCAGCTCAGCACCTGCTGTGGTGATGCATTTTTTATTTCGTTATTACCCTAATCATCATCATCGTTCCCTAAGAATTCAACTGCAGTTCCCATTCTCTGGTGGGGTTAGGGTTAGGACTGGGATTAAAGTAGGATTTGCACAGCCCCCAGAGTGGGTTTAGGGTGAGGATCAGGGTTAGGTTTTGGGTTTGGGTTAAGACAGGAGCTGCTCAGCCCAAGGTGCATTTAGGGTTACAGTGAGGACAGGATCTGCACAGCCTCAGGATGGGTTTATAACTAGGGTTAGGGTTAAGATTAAGGTTAGGGCATGGCCTGCACAGCCCAGAGTGGGTTTAAGGTTAGGATTAGGGGTAGGTTTGGTGTCAGTGTAAGAACAGGACCTGCAGAACCCTCAGGGTGGGTTTAGGGTTAAGATTAAGGTTAGGGCATGGCCTGTACCAGGCTGCTCTTGGGGTTATACCCCAGAGAACTGCAAGGGTTGTTAAAAACCCAAAACGTGGAAAAATCCCATCTCCACAAACCTCAGCTGGCTCCTCATCCACAGCACATCCAAGAGTGAGGAAACTCTGGGAATTACGGAATGCCAGCTTGGAAGGGGCCCCCAGGATCTCCTGCTCCAGCCCTCCCTGGCTGCAGCCCTGGCTGGACAGGAGACCCAGCTCCCTCTGCTCCTGCACCTTTCCATGCTGGGAACCCTCTGCTTCCAGGGGGAAATTATTCCAAATGTCCTTTTTTCCACTGTGAAAAATTCCCTCCAAGAGCCCTTGCCCTGTGAGCAGCTCAAAAGTTGTGCTCAAGCAGTAGAACCAGAATCCAGATGAAGTGGAACGATTTTATCAATCTTCAACAATGAAGAGAAATGAAAAGCCCTGTTATTAAAAGGATTAAATGATAAATCCCCAGATATCAATGTTAAATATGGCCACGACATGCACAGATAGGATAACATGGAACGCCTGCTCACTGCCAGAAAAAACACAAATCCCCTTTATATGCAGACAAAATTCATGGAAAAACCAAAAGGAAGCAGCAGAAAGAAGCAGATTTGTGTTTAATAAAGTCCCATTTGGGCTTAATAAAGCCAGTTTGGGGTGTTTGTCACTGCCCTGATCTACAGGGATTGGGATCCCAGCACAAACTGAAGCTGCTTCCTGAAAATGTGGAATTTCATAAGGAAAGACAAAATAAAGAAACACCCACATAAATAAATATCCAGAGCAACTTCTGAGAATCATGGAACCATCAAGGCCAGAAAAGACCTTTAAGATCATCAGTTCCAACCAGCACCACCTCCATATGCTCCACTAAACCTCAATCCACACATTCTTTGGGGAAAAAATCCAAAGGAATGAGAGTTTAAGAATATTTCCCAAATTTTGCTGAACTCCAGGACCAGGCTAGACAGCAGGAAATGGGATGTGGAGGGATGGACCAGGCTGACTGGAAGATCATTTCTGTGAAAACCTGACCCCTCTCACACCAAACTTTATAAATATTTATTGATTTGTCAAAGTTAATTTAAGCAGAACATGGATAACGATAAAATCCAGCTTTTGTTTTACGGGAATTGCAGTTCTGAGGCCTGAAGAAAACCCAACACTTCCTTTAGTTATGACTAAATTCCCATTAAAATCTGACTCATTCTTTCCTGTGCCTTCCCAGAAAAATCTGACACCTGGGATGAACATTTAAGGGGAGAATAAACCAGAGGAACACACTCCAAAGAGGCTTCCTGGGAATTCTTTCCTCACGAACATTTTCTCATTGATGCAGACTTTTATCACAGTTCCAGTACCCAAATCCTCCAAAAAAACCCTGTATCCCAGAGGATTGGTTGGGTCTGGGATCAGGGGATGCTGAACAGCAGCAAAGCTTTGTCAATAAAATGTGAAAAAAAAATCAGTGCTGCAGTTGGGTCTGATCCATTCTCCTGGAATGCATCCCACGTGGAATATGAATTTTCTTTTTACACCAAGCTTCCACCTGAAGATTTTTGTGTTCCATGAGCTGCTCAGCTCATCCTGTGTGAAATCCACTATTTACAGCAATTCCTAAAACACATCCTCATGTGCCAGTTCGGGAGGGTTTGGAATATGAGACCCACGTTCCATCGTGTGCTTTCCCACACATTTGGGCTTCTCCATGGGCAGGGTTAGAGCTCCAGGGGGTGTGGGGAGCAGATGGAGCCCTTCAGCCCTAAAGGATCCCCCTGTCCCACAAGCACAGCCAAGGCTGGCTCCCAATCCCATTTTCCCACTGCCTGGATGAACAGCAGTTTTGGGAAGCAGAGGTGTTTATCCAGCTCCTCTCAGCCTCCAAATCCACTTCCTCCCACTTTTCATGGAGGCAGGACACAAACACAGAGTGAAATCCAAAACAGATCCCAGTGAAATTTTGGTAACAGCACATCCTGCAGTCCCACACCTGCTTCTTCCTCACTTCCACCACAGCACCAGAGCAGGATTTTTCCTCCCAACAAAATGCTGTTCCTGAAAAAGCTCAGAGATAAACCCCAGGCACCTGAATTGTGAATTACTGCAGAAGCTTTTCTAAGGAAAGGGATGAAGGAGATCATCTGATCCCACAGAGAATTACATAATTTGTGAGCTGGGATTCAAACTGGATTCTCCTTAAAATCCATGAGCACTTCACAGGGAGAGGCACCAACTCAGACAGGGTGACAGCCACCAAAAAAAAGTGACAATCTCAGGTCTGGCTCTCCCAGGAGGAACAGATGGGCTCCTGCTTCACATAAAATCACGGAGTGCTTTGGGCTGGAAGGGAGATTTAAATTCATCCCATTCCACCCCATCATGGGCAGGGACATCTCCCACTGTCCCAGGCTGCTCCAGCCTGGCCTGGGACACTTCCAGGGATCCAGGGGCAGCCTCAGCTTCTCTGGGCAACGAGAAAGGAGGGAAGGGCTGGAACACTTCCAGATGGAGTCACTCCAACACCACTCTGGGCAACTTATTCCAATGCCCCACGCCCTTCCAGGGAAAATTTGTTCCCCAGTATCCGACCTGAACCTCCTCTGGGGCTGTTCCTTTTCTTCCTGTTCCTGTCCCTGTTCCCTGGGAGCAGATCCCAAACCCCTCCTGGCAGGAGCTGTGCAGAGCCACAGGGGCCCCCTGATCCTTCTTTTCTCCAGGCTGAGCCCCTTCCCAGCTCCCTCAGCCTCTCCTGGGGCTCCAGACCCTTCCCAGCTCCCCCAGCCTCTCCTGGGGCTCCAGACCCTTCCCAGCTCCCCCAGCCTCTCCTGGGGCTCCAGACCCTCCCAGCTCCCTCAGCCTCTCCTGGGAATCCAGATCCTTCCCAGCTCCCTCAGCTGCTCCAGCCCTCCTTGGACACATCCCTAAGAATTTCCCCTTTTTATTACTTATTTGCTGAGGAAAATGTTGTTCTTTTCTGTGGCCTTTTCCCATTTCTTGTGAGCAGCAACAGCTCAAGTGCTCTGCGGAGCTTCTGGCAGCTCCGAGAAATTCCCTCCTCCTCAGAAAACCCAAGCTGTTCTCATTCCCAGCAAAAGCTGGGAAGATTTCACAGAGCTCTGCAAAACATAAGCAAGGGCATCTATTAGCACTAATGGCTGGAACTTGGGAAAAGTGATTCAGAAAAGAGGGATTTCATGGAATCATTGGTTGGGTTGGGTTGGGAGGAACCTTAGAGCTCAGTTCTAACTCCTGCCATGGGACACCTTCCTCTCTCCCAGGTGGCTTCCCAGAATTTTCCTGGAAAACCAACATGAGAGCCCCAGTATCATAAAGCTGGAGAAGGGATTTTCTGCCTTTGACCTCTCCCAAGGCTCTGGAGAAGGGATTTCCCCAGTTTGGTCTCTCCCAAGGCTCTGGAGAAGGGATTTTCCCCTTTTGCCTCTCCCAAGGCTGCCCTGAGCTTTGTCCTAATTGCCAGGCTGAGTTTAAAACCCAAATTTGCTGGTTTAAGCAATCAGACATTGGAATAAAGTCAAAAATTTATCTCCAGGAATAAATCCAGCCGATTTTCCTACCAGTAAAAAAAATGTTAAAAGCAGAATGATCTTTGTAGATGCTTGAGAAAATTCCAACCAAGTTGGGCATGGCCAAAAAATTATCTTTCAATAATTAATTAATATTAAAACTGTGCCTCAGCTTTAATTAGGAGGTTCCTTGCCAGGATGTCAACAGGATTGCAAGGATTCCTCTTTCTCTGGAGTCAGTCCAAGCATTAAAGCTGGGAATGCCCCAGTCAGTCTGTCCCAGGAATTCCAGGAATTCCTGGATTTCCTGCAGAGGGGACAACCAGGTTGTCATTTCTCTTCATTTCTTTCAGTTCCAATTAAAAAAAAAAAATCCGTATTTTGCTGTCCTTAGGCCTGAGGCGCTCTGTGGAATTCCCATGAAACACAATTTTCAAATTTTCAAA